TATATATATATATATAAGAGATAAAACCTGGTAGTTATCTATCATACAAGTATTAAATCGAATGAACTGCTCCTATTCATATGTATAATATCACCTATTTATCCCACAGTTCATACAACCAAGGTAAGTAAATTTTTAATTTTATATTTTACAACTTTACATTGCTTTTTTAATACTTTGGTACAATTTAAAAAAGTTTAGCTTGGCTTATTATTGACTGAAGAAGGCGTTGCTAAGTTTGTAAAAATACTGTCATAGGTGTAAGCATACATCACCTTCATTAATTATAGTACCTAGGTACTAATTTGCTGTTAGTAATTTAATTATTTCATATGCTAGGCAAAGGCCTTACTAAAAGATATGCAATTGAATCGACGCGTCGAGGAGACTTATGAGCACGTAAACTATGGCGTGCTGATAAGATCTAATAAAAGCGAAACTGCTATCCACGTCTGGCTGTTCGATAAATGATTAACCAAAAACTTATACTCCTCTTACTAAAGAAAAAATTAGCGTTTATTGTTTATTAGGTCAAACCCGCCAGCAAACGTTAAACTAATAAAATAACGTCATATTTTTAAAATTTATTTTGGGTGACATGAAAAATACAAAGAAAGCGGAGTTACTATACAGATGAATAAAATTTAGGCTTTTATGTAGGTAAAGTCATCAATAAAGTGTAGAAAAAGTAAAATAGAAATCGCCGTTTTTCTTGTCACTCTCAACCGCCGGAATTAAATTAGAGATAATTTAAAAGCGTTTTCCAAACAAAAACATTTATGATTGACTAATAATTTGACAATCTTTCGTCGATCTGGAAATTTTTATAATTGGTAACTCACGTATTGGTCTCATACGAGTTAGGAAAATAAAAGAATTAAGCTTTAGCCTGATGGACCATATATATCGAGACTTCGAGTATATCTTCCATTCATGTTATCAACGAAGTTCGCACTGAAGATGTTATTAGCAACTGCCTACGAAGCTTCTGGACCTAATAGTTCATTTCAACTGCTGCTTATCAGCAAGGGTGTTAATTCTGCTACAAAAACGAAACGCCTGGAAGAGAATAATTCCAGGAAGATAAGGAAATACGTTTAGCGTTTAATTAACCCCGGCTGACGAAGGATTTATGACCTATTTGGGTAACTCACTTGGAACCGATACACAAATAAGCTTTCAGTAGGCGTAAATTATAGTATTAATACAGATGGGACAGTAGCGTACTAGAAAATAATGTTAAAACATAACTTATCAAAAAGAAAAAATTAACCTATTGCTTCTTTTTTATAGTTAGTTTTCACATTCACTCTCATCATGGGAATTTCTATCACTGTCACCAACATCAACAATTAGTTCTTCTGTTTGTATGTCTATTACTTGCTCACTGATCCCTATTTTTAAATATTTAATCTACGCCCTTGATAGAAATACTGAAGAATGAGGGCTGCAATCTTTATACCTAAAACTGCCTACTTTTGTCACCGCGCATCCACGCCATTTTAAAATTTACGCCAGTTTCCAGCGTCAGGCCTGTAGTTATTTCGTTGATGTTTTGTTTGTTTGTATATTTATGCATCTATCGTCATCGTCATCATAAGGTCATTGGTCCGAAGGTTGGTGTTCGGAAAACTTATCTTCAGCCAATCTTCGCATTTCTTTAAAACGAGAACATCGAGAATTAGATGCACTTGAAGATAATAGAACAGAATAATTAATAATAATGGAGGAAGAAATAATCGTGCCCATTCCATAAGTCTTATCACTAGTGATGATTGATAGAGAGATTATAAACCATTAACATAATATTATCGTAAATTTTCAATGATCATAAAGAACTGAATATGGAAAGACAAATTTTCATCACCGTAAGTCTGTTTATCACTTGCAAGCTTTTGTATCTAGTAACAGACGATTATGTGAAAAAGCACTACACCCTGTGTATCTGTAAAAAGTTATCTAAATACGTAAAGTCTTCATATGCAGAGGAATCTACGGCTGTGTCGCTTGTTATTAGACCACCAGTGGTCTCAACCATGTTAGACCATCGCGGTCATAAAACGATAGTACGCCCACAGTGATAATATGGATAATTTATTTAGATATCTTCAAAAGTACGATTCGTCTCTATTATACGAATGAAGAAATAGAAATAAATAAAAGTACGATATAAAACTTGACAGTTTTAATATATTACATTTGGAAGTTATTTAGGAATCGTAAAGACATATCAAGGTACCAGAATGATCGGTTACGTATTACTTCATTTGAAACCACAACCTCACAACAATGATAATTATAACACTTCAATTATATCTAAATTATTGTGTATTAAGTATTCCTTAATGAGAAATGTACAGGTTAATTACAATAGGAGGAAGGCCCTGATACTAATTTTTACAATTTTTTGGTGAATGCGGAGGAAAAGAAAAGGTTAGAAGTGTTCGAATTGTGGTGTTACAGACGGATGATGAGGATGCCGTGGATAGAGAAGGTTAGAAAGAAAGAGGTATTAGAAAGAATAGGAGAACAAAGGACTCTATGGAATTCAATAAAAAGTAGGTGAAATAGGTTGGTAGAACACCTTCTCAGACATGAAAGTCTAGTCAGAGACATGTTAGAAGTAGAAACAGGAGTTAAGAGGAGTAGTGGTAGACCTAGAATAGATTACTGTTCGCAAATAGTTAAGGATGTGGGATGATCTAGTTTTAGGGAAATGCGAAAATTAGGTTAGGATAGGAAGGAATGGAGATGCATGTCTAACCAGTCTTAGGACTGTCGACCTTATGATGATGAGAAAAAAATATATTATTATTGTACTAATTCGCCATACGGTCATTCTTTAGAATTAACATTAACTAAAATTAAAATGTACATAAAGGTCTATTTATTCTATAGTTATAGGTAATCTCTATAACCATTTACAATTTTGTAGTGGTACTAGGGGTGCAATTGAAGTATATGGTTTAGAGTGGCTATAAACTATAATTCTAATTTTTTAGAAATCCTGATGATATTGAATATAAAAACTCGTCTTACATAACAAGAAGTATTTAAGTCATTCTTTTCATTCCCAAAATCTCACTAATATTACAATTATCTTATAAGGAAATTGTAAATAAAAAATGTAATTTATTTT